ACACGTCTCCGTCCGTGTAATTGAATACGTATTTGAATGTTATGTATGCGTAGAGTAAATAACCGCCGATCGTATGTACGATCCCTTTAGGCTTTCCAGTACTTCCACTGAGACAACAAAATATTTTTATTTAGTAATTTTGATTTAAGCTCTATTTTTCTAGATTTTTAAGTTGATTATTTTAACAATAAATATCTCGTTTTAACTTTTTACGAGCGTCACATTACCGTATTTCGGGGGTAAATTTGTCAATGGTGTAATTTTGCCAAAATTATGTGTGCGTTATATCGAGATTTACGTTACATTGAGGTATTTTATATTGGCGGGATTTTAACATTACAAACCCATAGGAGCTGCCGGTGCTGTAAACCTATGCACCTTATCACGTGGTTTGCCTTATACCAAATTACCTTATTACGGGGTCAGACTGTAATTATATTTTTTATCCGACTATTTGAAAGTCACCTAAAAGTGCTTTAAAATTCATTAATGTCTGAAAAATATCATTTTTACAATTACAAGACTTATTCGGCAAAATTAGAAACCAGGAGAAATATAGTCCGATCCGTGGGTTAATTGGATTTAAATAAAAACAAATAAACATTAATTACAAATACCTCGTGTATAGTATGAAAAGGGTGTCCTCGGCTTCCATCCACTCGGGTTCACACGAATCGGAAACACTTTTCATGATGTCGTCCCACAGTATATCCACTTTTGGGTCGTAATTAATGGTCGCATTATTGTCCATACCGTGAGCGGTGTACAGTTTTAGGTGTGGGCTCACGATAGTAGCTATCACTTTATGGTTCCTAGTATAATTCTTTTGAGTTAATCATTTTCATTGAATAGGAGCTTGCTCATAATAATTACATTCTTTTGCATATTTCGAGGGCTGAATCCGCGATAGACTTCAATGGTATGAATTTGTTGGCTCTGTAGGCGCCGTCGGCCGTCACCAATAGTATACAATTGGCATCTATTATACGGTCGGCCAGTGCTGGGGCCGAAAATCCGGCGAACTATCAAATTATTATCATAAGTCTTAATAAAACATGGATGGGCCGGTGCTGAATAAACACTAGAAATACATACTTCAAACTAATTTTAGCAAATTTTGACAAAATTTCTAGGTTTGACAAAATTACAGTTTGAAATGTGTATTTCTAGGCTTATTTAGCACCGGGCTATTCATATAAAATAATTCTCGTTGAAAGTGAAATGAAGACATTTCATTCATTTCAAAGAATTCATTGAAGATTATTATCTAAAATGACATTTTTTATATTTTTATATTTCAATGGGAAAAACACGTACAATAACGGTGTGAATGGCACCGATCCGGGCACAGGACAGCATGACAACCACCAGCTCTATGGAGACCGACATATAGACGGCAACTCTGTCCCCCTTTTTGACGCCCAAACTCTTGAGCGCATTCGCGAACCGACAGACATCTCGCAGTAAACCATTGTAAGTGACTATTCGGTGCGAATTGTCATCATTTGATTGCCTGAATATTTAGCAAACTTTAGACTTATTTAAAAAATACGATAAACTCCGCGAACCAGTAATAGGCAACTCGATCGCCCAGTCCCTTATCGACAACCCTGTCCAACACGTTATAGCACATGTTGGTGAGGGCGCTGTCCAACCATTTCACAC